GAGGCCCGCTGGCTGTCACTGGAAAGTGCCAGACGGTGGCCATCACCCAACACGGTACAAGGGTGACGGATTTCGCTGTGAGTATGCCAAGGACACCTCTAAACTCCCCCACATCAGGCAGATGAAGCTACTACTTTATTTCACCACCCTGCAGGTAACTGAGACTCAATTACCGCGGCCGCTCACTCGGTTCCGTCCCCCTGAGTTTAGATAGCTCCGGTGCCTCTCAGAACTCCCCTGTCTGTTCTCTTTGCTCTACCCCAGGGGTGAGCCTGCCAGAGCCAGCCGACTACCCCTTCTTTCCAGAGCTCACTTATCTGAACGTTTCAGCTCTTCCTGGAAGACCTTCTGCGTTGGTCTCTGGAGCCCCCATGCTGAGGCCTCTAATGAGGAACTGGCCTGAAGCCGCCCCACACCTCGGGGTTTATTTGAATACATTGGCTCTCTCAGTTTAGGGCTCTGTAAAAGATACATAATGAAATTTCTCTTGAAATGAATTACTGTAGTTGAAAAAAATACATGTATATTTTAAAATGAAATGCCTCTATGCAGGCGTGCCTGAACACTTATGTAAATGGCATTTGCTTTTTAAAAGTAATAATAAACTAGAACTTTTTTCTAAAACGAAAGAGGTGGTTTGTCCATTAAAAAGTGCTTTCTGGGGGCCAGATAGCGGTGCAGTGGTAAAGCACGATGCTCTGCACGCAGTCCCACATGGCACGCAGTCCCACATGGGGGAGGGTTCTTTTGGGTCGCCTGGAAAGTCATGATGCATTTTTGCATAGAAAAACGTAGACAAATACACCATGGCTTTCCCAATGACCTAATATATTCAAATCCAGAGATTTCCCTGAGTATACCTGTCCACGCTTGCCCACGATCACCCATGCCCTAAGACTGGCTGAAGACTGGGGATGGATCACAGCATCAAGACACTGTTGAGGGTGCTGACTCTCTTGTTCATGGAAGAAGTAAATAAACTTCAAGAAAAAAAAATATTTTAGGTTAAGAAAGGATATAGTTGGTAGAATTAAAGAATGATGGGCCAGGGATTTGAGGGAGTCAGCAATACCTCAGGAAGATTTTTTTAAGATTAGAGACTAGGAGCCAGCAGGTGGCATGGTGGTAAGACGCACTGGACTCCCATATAGCCGACTATGGTTCAAGTCCCAGACCTGGCGGCTTGCTTTCTAGGTTTCTCTCTCTCTCTCTCACTTTGTCCCTCTCTAGTCAAATTAAAAATAAATAAATAAAATTAAATAAAATAATTATTTTTAAAAAAGATTAGAGACTGCATATGTGTATTCTGAAAGGAAGGAGCCAATAGAAAGGGAGAGATTTAAAATTCAATAAAAAGAGGAGAGAGGTTGAAAAGCAAGGATAGATAGGAAGAGACTGCCATTATTGTCTGCCTTCTAAATGCTAGATACTTTTCCTAAGATACTTTACGAACATTTACATGGATTTTTATCTAGTTGTTAAAAATGCTATTTCTCAGGGCCA